AGAGTTGGGAATATCTAACTCCTGCTTGATTCGTTTTTATTCTTTTAATCTTACTTATTGTGGAGTCTCTACTAATGAGGCTTTTAAAAGACATGATATGCTCATATGATTACGATGAATTTCAGCTCCGATGATCTTGCGCAATTTTTTAAAGTAGTTTAAAAGTATAGAAAAGTACTTTCCTCATTAACTCGAAGAGAAATTTTGTTTCATCTCAGAAGTTCTAGCGTTTTGTTTCAAGCCAAACTGAGACCGCACTGCCGTTCAAGAAAATGAACGAGGGTCCTTGGAAAATCGATTTTGCATCGATCATTTGAGGTGCTTTCTTAGGCTGCGAGAAGGCGAACTCATCCTCCTCAGCTTGTAGCCACCGAAATGTCATAACGAGAGCGCGAGAGCCATGAGGGTTGCAGGGGCCGTTAGAAACCTCACCGGGGTCGCTAATGAGCTTCTCCATTCTCTGACAGATTGTCACTTCGCTACCATTGTGCGACAGACATAATGCTTCTAATAAGCAAAATTTTGCCTTCATAACGCCAACAGTCTAGGCCTTTCCCTTTCGCTGACTGGACACCGAATTTCGTGTAATGGCAGTAGCTCCTGTGCGGCATGAACGATTAGAAGACCACGGAATCTTGAGCGGGAAAATGAGCATTGAAAATGATGGATTGGCAATGATTTGATCAAATTATACGCTGCGGCTTTGCAGGCTTTGACACATATCTCCAATTGTTGATGAAAAATGGCGAACATCTCGCGTTGTTTTTTTACATCTTCGTTCAGAAAGTTTGAAAGCTGTTTCAAAAGTCGTATCCCAGTCTTTTCACTCTTTTATAGCGATAATCGCTCTGTTGATCCTAATGAACATGGATATAATATGTGAAGAATACATGGACCGAAAGGATATGAACATGACTCGCACAGTAATACTGAATAATGATAGGCAACATAGGTTTCATGCTTAAAGAAAACGAAATAGCTAACGAGATTGACCTAGTTTCCAGCCGATGATGTCTGTCCTTAGTGCTTCATATAGCTAAAAAATAAATTTTTAAGTACAATCATCTTGAAAGTTATTCTTTGCTTTGGAGCACAGCAATAAGCTAAAACGTGGCAATCAAGAACTTCATACTCTTACGCAACCGCCATATAAATTGGATAATTAAAAACTAAATTTGTGAGGCTAGAAGCGAAGTCTTCAGGTTTTCCTAAGTCCTAATATTTTGTTTTCAGCAGAACTAATCTTTCCGTTACTGTTACTTATCTCCTTTCCTGTTTTCGCATCACAGTGGCAAAACAAATAGTAATTTATTCATTAATTTGGCACAGCATGTGACCGCAAGTTTTCCTAATATCCCATGGGCAAGTTCTAAGCAATGGTTAGCAACTGGTAGTTTTTTATACTCGCAAATCTCGGTTCACACGTCAAGTTCTTTAATGAGTGCATATCGCCACCTTTCGCTCTTCTGTCTTAGCAGACATTGCCACCTTTAGCCATTTGCACAAGCAGGACGTCTGTTTTGAGAAGGCCGACTTTTTCGTACCACTTCAACATTATCGATACAAATGACAGCAACATTTTCTTTCCAAAAGCAGATCTGCCTCTATTTTATGCATCCGTATGACTTGCTGGTTTTGTGCTCAGCTTCTGCCCTGTTTCGTCTCCAAGGTGAGAAGATCCCCTATGGACTAAATGGTTTTTGCTACACCAGTTTTTCTAGCAGGGCTCTTCTTTGTATTCTCAGGATCTGCTGAAGCCAGTTGTATCCGGAAAAGAGTAGAGTCGTTTCTTACGCTGTGCTGCAAATTAAGTCCATTAGCTAACACTGTTCCACGCGGGCGGTTCAGTCGCCGTTTTGCTCATTCATTAGAAGAACTGTCTAAATACCGTGCAACACAGTACCTGGAGTAAGGTACAGGTGAATGTTTATGAAAGTGCCGTATTTCTCTCTCAGCCCAAATAATGGACACGTCTCCAAAAACTCTCTAGTCTTAAGTGATCCTACTGTTTAACTATGGCTAGATGCTCTCATCGCTGGAGACAATGGAGTCAAGATACTTAAGGTGATCGATCTCCTGAAGCACTTCACTTCTTTGTTCCACTTGCGGATCAACTGCGCTGCTGAAGCAGCTTCGCATGACCTTTCACATACTGGTATGAAGGAAGAGGAGGTCTGTGGTAGCTGTGCTGTGCTGCATAAGGAAGTCATCACATGATGAAGCTTGCTTTCCATTCTACTCACCAAAATAAAATCGTAAGCGCATTATTTCAGCAAGGTATCTTATTGAATATCTTTTCCTGCGCATCCTCGCAGAAACGAGAGTTGATATTAGTGTTGAATAACCGAGGCTAAAGTACATTACCAAAATAACTTCACAATCAGTAGAAAACTGTTCAGATGGCTCTCACTCAACCTTAACAATGAACTCGGTTTCTCGGCATATATTTCTTCCAGAACGGCTCAGGTGCACCATAACATGCTACAGCTTTTGCTTCTAAGAGTATTATTTACAGCGCTATTTAGGCAGAACATGTCTCATTATAGCACCTGTCTGAAGTGATCCATCAAGTATATTGGGTAGCACAATGGTTTATTATCAATAACGTCTGAAAAGTCGATTCTATATGAACTTTGCAAATATGTAATGGCACCCGTGGCGATGACTGATTATATGTTAACTCATCCACAACTGAATTTCACGGCGTAGTGCACATTCACAGAACCTCTGGATACAAAGGCGAGATTTGATCAGCCATGACTCAGTGATTCACTAGCCGCAATCCTATATGCATTTCACTGAGAGACAATGCCTCAGTCGTCAGCAATGATGCGACAAGAGCTGGTACCACCTATGTGCATTTGCAAAGCACTAACATTGATTAGGTGTATAGAAGGAAGGGAGCACCGAGGACAAACCGGGTTAAGCGAAGTTGTTTTGTCATAATTATCTCTAGCCACTTTGCAACCGGCAGGCTTAGTCGCATAATATTTGCTGCGAAATTGGAACAGTGTGTCCAATATGTTGCTGAGACATTGAGTGAATACTGCAATGGCTTGGCTTTTCATTGATTTTCTTATTCTAAAGTAAATAGAAGCGAAAATGGCAATAAGTTTCAGATATTAATTTAATTTTCAATCCGATACAGGTGTTATGCTAATGAAGATATGTACTGAAAGCTAGACTCTTCTCCTGATTACATAGAATAATCAATTATGCCCCCTTGCTCACTGTTTGTGGCTATGAGTCTTGAAACGTGACCCTAATCTTGTCGCCAGCGTTTTATGCGTTGCAAATTTTAGACAGACCGAAAGTCAGCGTGAAATTAGTACACAGCCAGTCGGAATCAGGGGAGAAAACTTCTTGGCTGGTTTGCGACGCAGAAGGCAAACCGAACGAAACGATGCGATACGAATGGCGCATGGATAACAAGATTTTGAAAAACGCGAAATCGTCGCAGCTTCATTTACCTGACGCTGCGGATCAGAAGGAAGGCACGGAGTACATCTGCACAGCTACCAACTCTGTTGGCTCCGGAAACGGATCTTTCTCCGTTACTTCTCGCCGTAAGGAAACGTTTTCGTTATGAAGTTGGCTTCATTCATTAAAATGTCATTCTTCACCATGCTTTGCAATGAAATGTGTCGTGGACGAGAATCGACGCGGCACAGCCGGAAGCTGTCATCGACTCCCTCTCATGGGTGGGGCAGTAAACGATTTCTTTGAAATTCTGTCAAGCGGGACGATCAATGATAAATACGATTTCAAAATTAGTTTTGTTGAAATTTCCATTTGCCTTTACCAGAAACTGCTTGTGCAATGATCGCACGGACAGAATGCCATCTGACGTATATTATTCAGATTCGAATAGTATTTCGTTTCATTGCAGGCAGCAGTTACTCAGTCAGAAAAGCATGAAACTAACAGTCGTGAGTTGAAGTCCTGTTCTGATGACTTCTTCGTCATCCCGTTAAGGTTGAACGAGTTTCACTTTGAGGGAAAGGAAACATGAAACCGTGCGCTATACTT